AGAACTGGGTCACACGACCGTCGTGACACAACTGCAAACCCCGGAAGCACAGATCTGAGAATGCGGTGTGCAACACGCATACAAACACAGACACGCATACACAAAGTGAACGGTTCCTCACATTTTATTGTTCTCCTCCTAACTCATGGGATTTTTCCTTCGTAAAACCTGTAATGGCATGATTATGAGTTATTAAAACAATTGCTCGGCTGAAATTGTGTTCTAAAGGCGAATATGGGCATATTTCGAAATTTGAAATGCATTAATCTTCATATTTCGTAATATATTTTCATAGACAACATAGAAAACAGTGCTGGAGAAGAAACTTATTTTTCAATATATCGCATCCGGTGATCACACATATATGGTGATTATACAGATATCTGATTGGCCGACCACAGCTCACTTTAGATTAATGTCAGAGGCGAGCAAGCAAACCAAGCGAATATGACAAGGAGAGTGATACTCGATGCGAGAGTCGTGGAGGGGTGTGTGTGTGAAAGGACAAAGGTCAAATAGAACGTTCTAGAGATTACTTCAGACAGACGTCCTTTGAGAAGTTCTACGGTACCAACTCCCTTAAATCGAACGGTAAGGAAAACATTCTTGCGAGGAACTGTTGGGGACTTTTCTTGTGCTCATCTTCAATCGTATATGTTTATCAGTAAAAGCTTAGGAGTAACCAATTGACCGGAGTTCATCATAAATAAAACGTATCTCGGAAGGCAAAGCATAAACAATGCAAATCGCACGCTCTCGATATGAACAAGTTGCGTTTTTATTTCAGGAGTACAAAGCTCCGGAGATTCATATACTGTCCAATCCATGTTAAATTACGGAAACCGTTTCCTGCAGCTCAACCGTATGTTCTCATTAACACTGAGTCATTAATGTTTAAGCAAACAACGGATAATTTGCCCCATCAGTTCAACTCGTTCGTCTTATACCTGTTCACGTGCACTTATAGTGTGCGACACATTGGACATAAAACCAGGCGGTTATTAAACGTATTTATGAGCACTGCCTTTGGGCCCGCAACAAAGGAACATTTAGGTGCATTCGCAGCTCGGTTCAACGACACCCAATCCACAGCGGGTGTGTTGTGAGCAAAGTGAGGTAATTCAAAATAATTTACACTATGCCCGGGATGGGGGGGGGGCGGAGAACGGTCCAATGCACACCCCTGAAACATTCAACCTCGCTCGGTACCTCACTAAACAGTACCGTTTACGCGGAAGTGAGTTCATTCAGACTGAAAGGGATTTAGACAGACCCGGTCCAATGGGTGACATTTGACGGCCGAAACACCAATCATCTTGTCGGGGTTTCAATGGGGTGCGATTGGTTGCATTCACTTGAATTTACAACGGATTCACTTGAACTTGAAAAGGTATACACCCTCAGTAGCCTAGTGAGTGAATTCGATTGAGGTAGTGATTCCCTCGAATAACAACGATTCCCTTGAGCCAAGTGCATTTGCCTACATACCTCTGGCAATATAGGCCTACAATGGGAGAAGAGAACGTTCAGATGAGTACGTGATAATACAATGTATCATTTATACATCCAATCATTTTCCATCGCACCAGGTTTTTGTTTAAATGCGTTAACCACGAAAATCAGAATGGGTGCACATTCATTATTTATAGCTTCGCATGAATGGTATTTTCCAAAAGACTGATTAACGCGAGGATGAATGAAGTTTACGTCTAACTTTCTTTGGCACAGCCTGTCTGAATTACGGAAAATATGGGTCTGCTTCAGGATCATCACCGCTCATGAGCAATGCGAATCCATCCACCCAAATGAGGATTGAACCCTGGAACACAGAGACAGAACGCAAGCATACTACCCATTTGACCATCAGGAACCTGTCACTGTTTGTTAATAATCCATTGGTGTTCCGGATCATTTCGAAAAATTTGGGCGTTGTGCTCATGGTAACAATTGAATCAGGTTTGTTTTAGCCACAACGTGAATACCAAAACACAAGATTTCGATGACTATAACCTGTTTTAGTGATGAAGATGGTGGTGTTGATATTAGTAATATCGCTGCCCAAATTACTGTCTCTGAGCTGCTCCAAGCAACCCAATTTAAACCAAATGTAACGGGAAGCAGTGCTAGCCACTGAATCAACAAGCCTATCCTCCTTACTGGATTCACCAAAGCAAGTTTGAAACCCTCAATCCTCAATTTTCAGAGAAAACCCGGAGATATTCGTGAAAATGGAATTCAATATTTTGGTGACCTTGGCAAAATGAAGTAATTATGGCATCTTTATTTCATATATCTCGCCCGCGTTGGTGGCGTCTTATGCGGTTTATCACTGCATGTCTGGGG